GAATGAAGGCGAGGGGAGCTGATTTGCCCAGATGCAGCGCCCGTCTGAGGTGAGGACGAGCCGGCCCTCGGGCACGCAGCGGCAGCGAGCAGAGTGTCAGACTGCAGAGACTTGATCTGGTGCGTGGGCGAGGGGTGGGGATGCCCGCACGTGGAGGCGTCTCAGTCGTCGTGGTTGCATGCAGCGTCTCGTATGTACATACGACTATGTCTGGATGTGTGGTGGTGCTGTGTGCAAGAGGTGGTGAAGGCGCACTAGCGAGCCTGACGTACTGTACCGTGTGTCTGGCCGGGCGCCACTCGAACTGCCAGAGGGCTCGTAATGCCTGCTTTTTTCTCCTGCCCTTTACCGTGGGCGAGCGCGAGGGGGCCAAGGTTGCTGCTATTTGCTATGAGCCTCTGGCGACCATGCAGTGACAGAAGATGCTCCCACTCGCACTCCCACGCTCCCGTGTGGGCAGAGGAACGGGCTGAGCTCAGCTGACAGGGCCGTGGCGGAAGAGCTTTATTCTTGTTGTAGTCGATTGTAAATACGTACATGCGTGTGTCCATGTATGTAGCATGTACTATGTACTATGTAGTCGTAGAGGGCGGGCTGGGGGGCGATGCGCTGGCAGGTTTCGGTTCGTGCCTGGATCTGGCGTGGGCGTTGGCACCAGCAGCGTCCCAGTCGCATTCACCCATCCATCCGCATCCGCCATCCGCCCTCCGTCTGCACGCCCCATTTGCCCTGCCTGTTCCCGACTGCAAGAAAAGAGAGCCGGCGGTGCGGCGCTCTTGTCCAACGACTGCGCGCCGCGTACGCCGTCTGCTGCCCTTTGATCCGCCTCGCCTGCTTTGACCGCCCATTGAACCCGGGCCTCGCTGCTATCCAGGCCCCAGTCCACTGTCGCCAGCGAGTGACGCGCTCCAGCCAGCTCAGCATCAGGATGCCACGGGTGCTATTGCCCATTGAAGCAAAAGCACGTCCTCGATCACAACCATCATGACCGATACCGACACCGACTCTCTACGTGCTGCCGACGACGACGCCTTCCACTCCATCTCCGGCGTCCTCGAGACTGCTGAACCCGCCTCTGCCTCCACGTCGTCGTCGACGCAGCATTCACCACACCAGCAGCCACTGCAACTCCCAAACCACCAACAGAACCCACCCGCTGCTGCACCCACTGCACCCACCGCGCCCCACAGCAACCCCGCCAGCAACACGTCTGCCTCTACCTCTACCGCTGCCGCCACCGCTCCTGCTACTGCCGCTGCCACTGCCACTGCTACTACTACTACTGCTGCTGCCAACAACTCCTCGACGCCCTCGATGCGGCAACATACGCTGGCGGGTCAGCGCCCTCTCAACCCGTCCATCTCGTCGTCATCACCACTCTCTTCACGGGAAGCCTCGCCTGCCCGACCTTACCAGCGTAATGTAGCTGCTGCCGGATCGGGCGTGAGGCCTGGCTTCCGTTCACGCAAGAGCAGCACCGACGCGAGCCCCAGCCGAACATCGAGTCTTGCAAACTCCACCACACCTGGCCCCTCGCCCACAGGCCCAGTGCAGCGTGCTCACTCGGCCACAAGCATACCGGAGATCACTCCCGCAACACAATCCTCGACGCCCGACGCTGCACGCGCACCGCGTTCTATCAAGCCTGCTCCGTCCAAATCTGCCTCGGCCGACGCAGCACCCCATTGGCCCATCTCGCCGCGGCTTAAATCACCACCACCCTCTGACGACAGGTTCTCGCACTCGCGGAGAAACTCACTGCGCTCGCAAATCAAGCGCCCAGAGACGCAGTCGACGCCTGCCATCATCGTCCAGAGCTCGTCGCCCGCCTCGCCGCCCCGTCTGGCCGTACCCGAGCATCCCATTGCGAGCGAGCCAGATGAGCCGACGCAGACCATAAAGGCCCCCCCTGCCCGCGGATCAAGCGGCCAGCCTACCAAGCTCGAAACCGTCCAAGAGTCTAGCTTGCCTGCCACATCCGGATTTCATGGTCTAGAGCCGCAAAGGTACGCTTTTCCCCGCAACGGCCCCACTGTTTGTCATCGCGACGCACGTTAGACTAGTCGCGGACCCAATTTCCGTTACCATCCGCAAACTTTGTTAACGCATTCTAGCTTTGTTTCTTCGCTCGTCGCCCACAAATCCGATACGGATCGAAATGACGTCAATTCCAAAGTCACTGAAGACCTCAGCTCAAAGCACGACTCCTTCAAGCACGACCACTCAAAGCACACGGAAAGCGGCAGTGACAGCGCGTCAAGAAGCGCCAAGAAGGGCAAGATGCAGGAGCAGCGCTCGACCTTTGCCCAGCGGCCACAGCACTCCGTCTCTGCAAAGCCGTCGCTGTCCTCCATGTCAACACGCGCACGCGATCCGCCGCTACGCAACATGACGGTCGAAACCGAGACCGTGCCCTCGGTTGCACAGGCGTCGATTGTGAACCAGGACCGCTCTGCCTCAGGTCGTGCCGACGGTGGCATTCGTCTGAAGCCCAGCAATGAAACCATACGTCCAAAGAAGGAGAAGAAACCCCCCAAGCGAAAAGCCGCGTCCATTAATGCTGGCACCGGTAGGTTGCAACACATCTCGTACCCTCACCATACCCACACTCGGCCCGACCCTGGTGTGCTCTCCAACACACCCTCGTCTCTGGGCAGCCCCATCTCATACCGTTCATACGATGACCGTCGCTCTCTGTTGGCCTTGTCTCCCCCAAGCCCGGAAATGCGCATGTCTTCATCTTCTCGTCCTCCCCACCTCAGCTATTTTTATTCAAGCACTAACGCCAGCTACCGCACAGCTTCGTCCAAGGCCGACGTCTTCGAACAAAAGGTGGCCAGTGCAGTCGATGAGGCCGACTCGTCAGACTCTGATGCCACCTTCATCTACGAGTCGAATCCCCCCGACCCGCCTCACCGCAGCCGGGGACACCATTCACGCACGCCAAGCATGACATCACTAGCAAGCCTCACAAACCCACAACTTCAGTTCCGCGATAATCAAAAGCATCCAAGCAAGAAGAGTAGCACTAAATTTAAATTCACTAATCCGCACGTATATCCTAGTATCGACGGAGACGATCGGGGCGAAGGTACTGTCCGCTCAGGCTCTGGGCGGGCTGGCGGAGGCAGTCACCACCACCACATCGGCGGTAGATATAGCCAGGGCCGAGGTGGATTAAACCACATGGTCATGGACAGTGACTCATCGATGCCTCAGTCTTCGCGCAATCGTGGACCGGCCTCGAGAAACGCATCGCAACCAAATAGCCCTCGCTTTCACACTTTCAGTGTTGGCAATGGACACAGCAACGGCTCCAAGAAGAATGGAGAGTACTCAGCTGCATACGACATTGACGCTGAGAATGCGGCCGATGACGAACGCACGCCACTCATCTCTGGCCGAAGCCCACGAGCCCGGACCCCTCGCCAAAGGAATAGCGTCAATATACGCCACCTGGAACGCCGGCATCACCGCGACGGCGGATGGTGCCGACGCTTTGCTGGATGCTTGGTCCTTTCTATCCTGCTCTTGGTCGTCGTCTTTTGCGCCGTTGGACTGGTCTTTGCCACTACGAAGCCTCTCACAAGTCTTGTGGTACGCGACATTCAAAACGTCGTGGCCAGTCAAGAAGAAGTTATCCTGGATCTCATTGTCGATGCAGTCAATCCCAATATCATTGGAGTCACTGTTGCCGATATGGAAGTTTCCGTGTTTGCTAAGAGCAAGCATGTCGGCTCCGATACATGGTGGCGTGAGCATGGCAACGGGCCGCCTGAGAACGGGACGCCTGACGACTTGGAGAATTGGCAACCTGTTCAAGACCAGTCCCACCATGTGGACACTGTTGTCCGCACCACCGGAGTTGACGAAGGAACCGATCCCATTGAAGGCGAGCCTCGCACCATGTTGCTTGGCCGTGTTAACCGTTTTGACTCACCCTTGACTTTTGAAGGGTCGTTTTTCCAGCGGCATCGCGCAGAGTCCATTGGCGAACTTCGATTGGGGCATCCAGGAAACAAGACCGAAGCAGGTGGAAGCGAGCGCTGGGAAGAAGTCCTCCAACATCCTTTTGAACTGATTGTCAGAGGCAACTTCAAATACACGCTTCCCCTGAGTACACAGGAGTTCAAGGTCCCGGTCACAGCCTCTCACTACTACGATCCAGACGTCGAAAAGAAGAAAAAGCCCGCCGCTTTGAAGGGCCTTGGAAAGAGGAGGATTTTACCACCTGTACTAACAAAGCCCTGGGGACGTTATGACCGCAGAGCACTACCGCTCTGGAACCACCAATAGCACATACTTGCATTCTGTATCACAAAGCTCGGAGATCCGGCAGTTGTACCGGTTCAATCTTCCAAAAGAAACTGATACCCTTCTAAACATGACATTACGACCCTATAGATTTGTCCCAACCCGGCAACTGTACATCAACGATTACGTTGCCAACCTCGGCTTCACAGCCTTTACGAATTTCCTTGTTACTTCTGCGTTGCATTTGCACGCCACCCCAGCACCCCTTTGAAAAGGCTGTACGCATTTCCTCTACGGCGAATGTCAATCTTTGAGCGTACGGCCCTGCACTTTAGCGATGGTGTTTTTTTCACGAAGCCTTATTTTTTGCATTTCGACAACACGGACTTGTCTTCTGTTCTAATCAGTTTTTGCGCTGTTTGTCCTGTTTGGATTGATGATTGAAATGGATCGCTGTTGATCCGGACACATTCATTTCGTCTTGCCTCTCTTCTATGTATTTATACACACTCAGCGTATACTTGATTTGAATATCTTGTCTTCTTTTTTTTGCTTCTCAATGACCGGCTAGGGTGCATGGAATCGGTATGGATAGGAAAACAAAGACATTTGCATTGCGCGGGAAACGGGAAATGAAAAGATTTTAGTCTTCTTACTATTGGTTGATTCTCTTTTTGTGATTATGCCATGTTGACACCTACATGAGATGCAGAAGCAATGCATGGACGTTGTCAATGCCCCACATTCTACACAGCTTCCAAAACCAGACTGTCCCACAGCCATCCCCTCCACTGCGTGCTTTTAGTAACCCTGACGTCTAGCCTATTCTGCCCTTCTTTGAGCAGGCCCCGTGGAACTCCAAACTCCAAGCGTCTCCACTCCCCGGCTCTTGTAGCACCACGATACGTATCCTGGCTATTAGCCAAGCTGGCACTGGTGACATTACCGATTTTAGCCTCATTGAGCAAAATATCAGCGCTGCTTCCTTGAGAAAAGCCGGCAAGAGATACGACAAGTTTAGCAGCGGTACTATTGTCAAGAGAGGCCGGAAAAGAAACCGACCAAGTCCCGACTTTAGATTGACCAAAACACCAGTCCTTTGATGGCGTGCTGGTACCGATGATATACGTTAGATTGGCCGGACATTTATCTATGCGAGCGTGCTGGACTGGAATCGCCGGATCTGCCAGATAAAACCCATCTGTTTTGCGGTCGAAATCTCCGATTTGAAAGATACGTTTTGTCTTGTCTGTAACGGACCAAGTAAGTAACGGTAACGATGTCGTCTTTCCCTTTACGATTTCAACATCGTTGTGCGTAAAGTTCGTTATGACATCCGCAATCGACCTGCCGTTTCCCCACGCATACAAGGCATACGTGCCGGACCGTACGTCGCGGATACGGAACTCGCCCGCATCATCAGCGTAAGCCGTGTAGTAATAATTCTGTCCCTGATCCAGCGTCGACACCGTCTCATTGCGATTATCGCCTAGAAACACCGCTGCACCAGCCGCAGGCCGTCCATCACTCAGCACCAGCTTTCCCTGAACCGCGCCTCGAGACTGATACGCCGCATTCTCGAACCACGCATACGGCCACTCCTTCTCTTCCCTTTCCCACCGCTCCACAGCATCTTGCCGACTCCCATCGTTCAAATACCACAGCCACGGCCCCCAAATCCTAGCCTCATCGTTGCCTGCGGCAAACGAATCGCGCGATGAGGCTTGATAATGCGTCCCGTGCAGCATATTCAACTGCACCGTATCCCCCGTCTTACTCTCTCGATGCACCATCAACTCCTGCTTCAAGTGATCCCCATTCAAATACTCCTTCCCCGCATGCAAATACCAACTCCCCACCTCATCGCCCCACACCCCATACGCCGTCTGCTCGCGCAGAAAAGCAGCCCAGTCGTATTTTGTCAAGAAAGTGCCGTCGCTCTGCTGCCACGTCTCGTCCTGCACGTTTGTAGCGTTTTGGTACAAGGACAAGGGGGGCAAGAGTCCGGTTTTTGTGTTTGTAGAGGCGCGTGGGAAGGAGGTGTTTGAGAGGCGCCAGAGGCTCCGAAATTCGCCGAGGGTGGGCAAGCCGCGGTTGATGAAGTATTGGTATGCGCCCGCCAGATCGTCGTGAAGGACCCAGTGGAAATCGCCTTCTGCAGCGCTGAAGCGTATGTCGAGCCAGTTTGACCCGGATGCGGCGATGGAAGCGGTGGTCCAGCGGAGGTCGGATGCTGCGCCGTCTTTTATGATGTTTTGTTAAACTTGGCATCTTCATGGGGGAAGTAGAGGGCATGGACGTACTGTAACTAACGTAATGTCCCACGGCCTCCCCTACACGATCTTTTCCTCTATACATTAATTTGGTCGCATACTGTGCGTTTTGCGTTAGATTCCAGAGTTCGTTCCCTAGGATCCATGTTGAGTTTCCAATTTGGCGGAAGAAGCTTTTGGGTTGTTCGGGGGCACTCGGGTGTTGTGAGTATGCGGATGCTACTATGCCTGCGCCACCGCAGAGAAGAGGGAGGAGGGCCTTCATTGCGGGCACCGCGGTTGGGTGGTGAGTAAGGGGAATTGGGCGATGCGAAGCAAATAGTTCTTTTTGATTAACATGCCTGAAGTTTATATACGGATATGCAGGGACTAGCCGTGCTATTCATGGTGATCATCTACTTACTGCTCTTCTTCGGTGCATATATACACCGAACCGTCCCTCCCGTCCCTCTCCTCCTCCTCCGCATACTTCTAGAAACTGTACAAGCGACCTCTCTAATTCCATGGCTACCGAACCAAACATCCCTAAAACTCGCTCACATAGCGTTGGAATCCCGCATCACGATTTCTGTCTCTACTATCACAGCAACAGGGTAGAGTGGTGGGGGGGAAATTTAAGGTTAATAAATGGGAGTGACATGCCACACATAGGCGTCTGTGCTTCCATTCACGCTACTACTTTCTACTAATTTCTTCCGTCTGATCGATTAGGCGCGGGAATAAGATAATCCTAGGGTTCGTCTCGTATTTACCAGATCTACGGGATAAATGGAGAGCGGGGGAGTTGGGGGGGGGGGGGGGGATGATGTGCGGAGGTTAGCCCTTGCGAAAAAGAGGATAGTATGGGGGAGAAGGTTGGGTAGTAAGCTAGGTGGGGTAAGGGAAAGCTTGAATGGGATAAGCAGAATTGGCGGGCAGAGAGGGTTAAGGTTTCCGTGCCCCGGGTCTTTGGGGAAACTGTGCGCCTCTTGTTTATGGAACTGGAGGGTGTTTTAAAATAAATACTAGAGATCAAAACAATAATCCTGAAATCTGAGGAAATATTGCAGATTAATCTATGTAATAGATGTCGAAAACGTGGAAAAGTACAGAAGCTGTAAGCTATGCTTCCATAAACGCTCCATGTCTAGAAACACTATACTTCTAGAAATACTACGCTCCTAGAAATTTTATTCTAATTTGTTTTTTTCACTATACCTGCCGCGTCCACAAACCGCATTGTGAAGTCTGTTTCGGTTGACATACTTTATCTGATACGAATTAAATGTTGTCCAGCAGCAACACTAGCACGCGCGATTCCGCGCTTAACCTAATAGAATCGTGTGTAATAAAGTAGCTTCTGATGAAAGCTAGCAGACAAGGGTGTGGCGACAATAAGGAGGCATTACGAGGATTGAATTCAACTACGAGACACCACTATCCACCCAAGCCCATGCATTAAATCATAAGCCGGTAAGAGGCTGCAAGTATGTTTCTTTCGCATATCTTGAACAACTAGATGGGTGAAGTTTCCAGGTTGGGAGATTGATCCGGGTAGAATATAACCAGGTAAGCAAAGTGCAATATCAAACAACTTTTGTATCTAGAATGGTATACTTTTAATCAAAGACTAAATCCGCAAACCGGCACATTCATCGCTCTAACATCAGGGGTATTTCCAAAAAAAAAACCACGCAAATTCCCACACCTCACACTTACTGCTCCAACGACTTAGCCTCTGCCTCTTTTGTGGGTGTCTGCGCACCGGACTCGGCCGTCTTCTCCCCTTCAACCACCGTTACAGGACCCGCCCGACGCGGCTTACCCGTAACATCGCGCCACATGCCGCCGAAGTTGCGTACGAGACTCTGGCGACCTTCCCACAGCGGGTAAACGCCCACAGCCATCGTAGAGCACAGGAGCCAGATGATGCCGACGACGACCCAGCCGGAGAAAAAGGCCTTACTGAAGATGTAGCCGGTGCCGTAGAGCGGCATCGGCCAGAGAACGAGAAGAACCAAAGTCATCGTTGCGGTGGTGATTTTTGCGATTTTCGAGGCCCGGAAGAGCTTTCTTTGCTCTTCGGCTTCGGCTTCAGGGGACAAAGCGGCGTGTCGGCCGTGTACGGCTTCGAGATCCAAGTGCGCGGCTGCTGTCACGTCCGAGTCGTCGACTAGACGGATGTTTTTCATTGAGACCCAGTCGTAGTTGTCTTTTGGGGTTGAGTTAGTGAGCGTATTGACATCCGCAGGAAAAAGAGCAACTTACCAACTCCGAAGATCAGAGTGAGGATGGGAATGAATATTACGGGAGATAATAGGGCGACGACGTTACCAGCCAACATGGGGTTATTGGCGCCAGAAGTGGCTACGGTGATGACGCCATCATTTAGTTTGGAGGTAGTTACGAGCCAGGCCGTGATACTGCAGCACAATCCTAGGACAGGGGAGAGGGTGGCTGCCCATTTGTTCTGGCCCTTCCACATGAGGGTAAGAGTCGCGGGGAGAACGGCAGATGAGATTATGACACCCATGAAGACATAAAGCCATCCCATACTTTTCGATATTAGCGATTTTCAGGCTGTAGAATATACTTGGGTGTAACTCACCTAATACCTGCATACCACAATCCTGTGCTGAATCCAGCCATAATGAGTCCGAAGGCACAAACACACACGTGAGAAGTGTACACGAGACGGCGACCACTCGCATTCGTGTTGATGTAAGTTCCATAAACATCGTATGTCAAGATACTGGAAACGGCAATGAGCTGGGCGGAAAAGGCAGAAGTAACGGCCATGAAGACAATAAGGAGAGTTGCAACGGCACCGCCAGATCCGAGGAGAGCAACTGCAGCATATGGAAGGGTGAGTCCGGCGCTGATGGATGCTTCGTCCATAACTGCAGGGTACGTGGGGAAGTACTCTGTGCTTTGGAGCGCGAGGGCTGCGAGACCCATGGTAGTTGCGCAGAGCCACTGTAAGATGTCAACGACTGTTTACAAAGAAACCTTTCAAGAAACTTACGGGAATGGCAAACCAAGAAAGTCCGCCGATGATGTATCCAGGAAGTGCGTGGACTGGAGATGCGGCAATCGCCTTGTTGTAGTCTGCTATAAGTAAGCTTCTGTACGCATAATATCACTCTGAAAAACCTACAGCCATTGTCCATAAAGACAGTGCCAAAGTTTCCAATGATGTTAATCACGAAGAAAATGGCACCATCCTTGCTCCTCATCGTCAGATAGCTTCCACCAGCATTTCCGGGCACAGGTGTTGTGGCCGAGAGCTCTTGTAGGCGATCGTAAACAGCTCCTGGCGATCCAAGCCTGTCACCAGTTGCGTAGGTCGTGAAAGCAAAGATGAGAAGGATGATGAGCAGAATGACAGTGTGAACGTAGTCGGTAAGGAAAGTAGCCTTGATTCCGCCAAACATGGTGTATATAACGACACCAAGGGGAAGAAGAAAACAAGCTGCTGCCGTAGGCACTCCAGTCAGGGAACTGATGACTGCGGATCCACCAGTGAGCAACATGGCTGTTACGAGAATGTTTGTGAAAAGGCCAAAGGCAATGTAGACGAAATGGGTTGCCTTTCCATAGCGAGCGCGGACGGCCTCGAGGAATGTCTAACACATACTTAGTATATGTATGTTTGCGTGATCGATTGCATTCGCTTACATGAGCGTTTGGTGCTCGCCTCTTGAGCTCAATGGCAACAGTAGCGAACAGCAGAATCTGGACAGTAGCTCCGGCAGCATACCAAAGGGGCCCAGAAACACCTGTACAACCGTCAGCCTTGCCTTGCCAGAGTAACCAGCTTCCTCGCTTACCGTAGCGAAATGCGACAGAAGAACTTTGCAATAGCGTAGCTGCCCATGTCCAAGATGATACAACCGCAGAAGCTACGAGACCAGATTTTACAGTACGTCCGGCAGTCGAGAACATCTCAGAGGTTTGCAATTCATTGTTGTAGCGTTTGAGAACCCAGGTAGTAAAGACCTTGAAGCTGTCAGCGCACGCCACTCAAGTATTACATTGAAGGAAGGGTTTACCATGCCAAGTGCAAAGAGGAAACCGACACCAAGGACGATGCCATAGCCCCAAGCCTGTCCCAGAGGGGAAGCTGAGGGCCCAATAGGTGTACCACCACCAGCCATGTCGAGCTATGTTGTGGAGAATGAGAATTGAGGTCCAAGACGCTTCTTGAGTTTTTGCTGCCTCAGTGGGCGATCCAGGCCATCTATATTTCCATCACGTCGACATCGGCACTAAGTACCCGTGGAAAAAATCCATTAGTACCAAACGGTGCTATCTCCAGCATCTCCAGATACACACATACAAGACTCACGTTCATAGATTCAATAAGCAGACATGATTGGCCAAAGATTAGACATCCAGCAGCTGGGGTAAGACTAAGAGCTGTGCTTGTGCTGCAAACCATTCTAGGCGGGACCCCCAACTTCGCAGCTTGGTTCGTCAACTCATCGCCTTATCGCGGAGTACCTTCCCCTCAGCATCTGAGCTGGTTGGGGTTTTCTTGCGGGATGGTTTCGCTTATGCTGATAAGAGAACGGGCCCAGGTAACTGTACTGTCACTAACCCAGGACCCCACCCCAGCGGCGGCCTGAGCCCTACCATTGCGAGCCGGAATTTTTTCTCATCTCAACGCTTAGTGGCTGACATGTGCAAAACGGTCGCGTGGGGATCGTCATATGTATGCATATGGGTGCTGGGCGTGGAGACTTTTGGCGCATCGAGATGGAGATGGTGTTGGAGGTTTCGATGAGGTAAACATAGGATGCGAGATAAGCTGGGGTTGGGGATCCAATGGCATGGCGCCGACGGTGGGCCCCGAAGTCGGCCGTGCAGGTCGTGTACCCTAGCTACCGCATTTCTCCACGGCATGCATGGACCTGCATCGTACTGGCAGATTGTTACTCGATCGCTTTGACAAAGATGTGTATCATGTGCATCTTGAAGTGTGGTTGTTTTTTTATGCATTCCAGTGGAAGGTTGTGTTGGCGTATGATGTGTACAATGAAAGAGAGATTGTAGGCCGAATTTGGAGATCAATTTCGTCAGAGAAAGATTAACCTAAGAGACGGTAAAGATCAGCATGGAATCAACGTTTATGCATTTGTCGATGCTCAGGTGCACATAAGGTTGTGTCAAGCATTGTCCAATCGGCCCGCCAGTGAGCAAGAATCTTGGGCTTCGTTACTGGTCATTCTCCAAATGCTCTTGCGACCCGGAGGAAGGATGACCGAATTACAGTGGAGCCCTCGTAATCTGTCGTTGTGATGATATGTATAAGTGTTAGTACGCTGTGTTAGCAAAGAGACGCACAACGGTCGTGTCAATCTACTTTCAGGCACCGGTTATGCTACATATAACCGATTGTTCTAATCCACAGTCAGAGTCTACCTGCCCAGCTCAGATTGGAAAGTAGCCATGGATCTTTTATCATTGAAGGGTCAGTCTTTTCATCCATTACAACTCTGTTCGGCGATACTACTCAGTTGAGATGCGCATGGGCCCGTCAGCATCTCACAAGATCGACCACGACTCCGTAAGCTTCTTACGTTTCTCACCGACCAAAGCTTGTTACAAATAGAGACATAATACACATATTGTTCTCCATGTATACTTAAAATCTCCAGGCCAAAGTTTTACGTATGGTCGTTTACGTTCAACGCGCTCTACAGTCCTCCATGTCCATAACCAACACTAGCATATAGAATGACGAGATGTTTCAGAAGAGGTGAAACTTGTGCTACTTGAAGAAAGATCTGGCAGCTCGATCCGCTTTACTCCATTTCTGCGGCAAAGACGATTCCGAGCCTCGCTTACGGAGACTTTATTACTGCATCCGGGCTGTCCGCTTGGTGTCTCCACTGGATATGGCTGAAGCATCATACAATTTTGGACGAATGCAAGTATACGGCAGGAGCTGGACTAGAAAGACGGATTCTGAAATCTCGTACGACTACGAGCCGGCTAAGCCGATCAAAATTCCATATACGCGGCCTGTTATGCGTAATCCCAGGAGCGTATGCATGACTCTCAGCCTCTTTCCTAACCAGGTATATATTGACTGTCCAGCTGAAAACATATATTCAAACAAACAACTCCACACTTTCTGCTGTACTCTCTTGAACCCACACAATGATTCCCAGTGCAGTTCTTACGAGCGCATTCGCGCTTCTGGCATCCGCTCGTTACGTTCCCGACGGATGTCCGCGGAAGATTGGCACAGAGGGTGTACACGCTCGCATCCCGCCATTTTTGAGTACCGCCAGCCAGCACGACCACGGCAAACCATGGTGTCCACCGCCTGTGGGCTTTTACTTCAAGCCATGGTGGATGATTCTCGCCACAAATCCCCAGTATGTCGCAATGCGTAATATACAGTACGACCCAACCCCAGTCGACCCCTCGGACCCGACAGGTTTAGTGAACGACCTCTTTTCGTTCCAGCGTCCAGGCAATAGCACCATCTTCACTACGTATGGCGTTGATACTCCAGACCCGCATATACCGGCTGTGTTAGACTTTGCAGCAACTGGGATTCTCAAGGGTGCTACCAGTCGATTCGCCATCTTGGTTTGGGGATGCGATGCCAACAGAGTGCCTTACTATGCGAGCTACTCGACAGCAACCAATCTCACGCAGACACCACCAGGTATCGATTTGTTGAGTACGAGTAACGAGGGGCCGGATCAGGCAACCCTTGATGCAATCCTGAAGGCGCTCAAAGATCTGGACACTCCAGAGATTACAGAATATGTAAACAAGTTGAACCGAACGGCGCAGGATGGTGCACGGAACAACTTGCCTAGGGTTAGTATCTGATTGAGACTGGGCATGACAGCTGCTGACAAGACGACCTAGATTACCTGTGATGATTATTGCAAGACGAACCAAGGCTTGATTGGATCGGTAGGTTGAACACGTGACTAGTTGGTGAGCGGATTCAAGGAACCACCAGCCGGGCAAATCATTTGCTGGTGGGGATACGACGATGCGTGTTATTTTTGTGATCCAACATATATGCTATAATGTAATGAACTTATGTGTCTGGCATAACAAGTAATGTTTTTGAATGGACTGCGTGCAAGTGAAAAATGTCTACATGTACTATCGGCGCCGGGCAATGCCATGGCTTCTCCGCGGTGGGGCTTGCCAAGCCAATTGCCCGCGTTAGCGTCAAAAAAGTTAGAAGTTGCCCTTCAGATTGCGCGCACAACTTGGACGACACAACATCGACATCGCCATTGCAAAGCGCAGGTTCTTGTGACATATTTCAGAATGGCAAAGCGAAAGTTGAACGAGCATGATGTGCCAGAAGAAACGTCAGGTGACGAGTCACACTCTGAGCGCAGCACTTCACCCGAACCTTCGCAACCTGCAGCGACCGCGACCGAACCCGTGACGACCACCGCGACGCCGAAGAACAAGAAATCTACAAAAGCTACCAAGGCGGCAGAGCCAGCGCCTGTCGCATCTTTTGCCGAACTTCAGCTAGAACCCCGCTTGTTACGAGCAATCCGCGATTTGAAATGGGCATCTCCCACGGCAGTGCAGTCACAGGCCATACCGCTGGCGCTAGAGGGCCGTGATATTCTGGCTAGATCAGGCACAGGAACAGGAAAGACAGCTGCCTACCTTCTTCCCATCCTGCACAAAACACTGCAACGGAAGCAGATGTCGCTCATCCTGGCTCCAACGAGAGAGTTGTGCCAGCAGATTGCGACCGTCGCCAAATCCCTCGCACAACACTGCAATCAGGAAATTAGGGTACGGAATATTGCGGGCAAGGAGTCAGACGCTGTCGTGAAGGCAGCGCTCGCCGATAAGCCAGAAGTGGTTGTGGCTACACCAGCGAGGGCATGGACCAACATCAATAACTCCACATTGGCCGTCAACGACCTTTGTACGCTAGTTGTGGACGAAGGTGATTTGATAAACGGCTATGGTTTCGCCGAGGATATGACCAACATAGCTCGTGAGATACCTGTTGGCGTCCAAAAGTTTGTTCTCTCAGCTACTCTCTCCACCGACGTTGAGGCTCTCGGTAGCCTGTTGTGTACCGATCCCGTCATTCTCAAACTTGCCGACCTTGACAAAGACTCGAAAAGGGTAAGTCATATTCGCATATCCGACTTGAAAATGCATACTGACAAATGGCAGGTGAAGCAATATGTTCTGAAGGTTGCCGAAGACGAGAAGTTTCTCTTGATCTACGCCATGTTCAAATTGCAGCTGATCAAGGGTAAGACGATTGTCTTCGTTGGCGATGTCGACCGATCATATCGCGTTAAGCTTTTCCTCGAACAATTCGGAATTAAGAGTGCCGTGCTCAATTCAGAACTTCCGCTTGCGTCACGCACTCACATCGTGGAGGAATTCAACAAAAACGTGTATAACATTCTCATCGCCAGTGACGAGAACGATGTGGTCGGAGTCCAAGACGAGGACTCGAAGCCAAAGAAGAAGAAAGCAAAGAGAAATAACGACAGCAAAGACTCAGGCGTTTCTCGAGGTATTGACTTCTTGAATGTTGCCTGTGTCCTCAACTTTGACTTCCCTGTTAACTACAAGTCTTATTTTCACCGGATAGGAAGGACTGCGCGAGCAGGAAAGTCCGGAACCGCCATCTCGTTCATCATTCCCAAGGAAAAGTACAGAAAACACAAGCCCACAAGCTTCGCCGGATGTGAGAACGACGAGGAAGTTCTCAAGAAGGTCGAGAAGCACCAGCAAGAAGGCCAAAAGCTAGAAAACTACAATTTTGACATGAAGCGCCTAGAGCCATTCCGATACCGCTTTGCAGACGCGCTCAAGTCAGTCACGCGAATCGCTATCCGAGAAGCCCGCATCAAAGAAATCCACTCAGAGCTCGCCAAATCACAGAAGCTCTCGCGATACGTAAGTTCATCCCTTCCTTCTCATCCATTCCGCTGAGCCACCCTAACACTCATCTTAGTTCGAAGAAAACCCTGAAGCCCTCGCCCATCTCCGCCACGACCAGACTCTCAACCACCCCCTCAGGATACAACCGCATCTCAAGCACGTACCAGACTACCTGTTACCCGGTGGTAAAAAGCCAGAGGATGTCGGGTTCGTCGGGCTCAATCTTCCGAAACCTGATCGTAAGAGGTTTGTCAAGGGTAGGGGGAGGAAAGTGGTTAAGCGGAATGGCAAGGTAGATCCGTTGAAGACATTCAATGCACGGGGTAAGGGGAAGAAATAGAGGTGATTGTGTCAAGGTGTTATAGAGGAGCTGGTGGAGCATTCAGAGAAGGGAAAACAGCATCAGTTTGGTAGTGTCGATATCTGAATATAATGACATACCTGCCTTAGCTGGACACTTTGAGTGTCTGCTGTAGCTGACCCATCGCGTTACTAGAGTAGAAGAAGTGATAATGGCAATACTCACCTACATTGCGATGCATGTCAAGAATTTCCAATGTAATATCTTGTTTTCCTGTTTCTCTGTTGCATATAGTCACTGGTGCCGGATTCGAGGCAGGCTGAGGGTTATGGAAGGATGGTGCATGGAGTAGAAGAAAAGAAAATGTGGCTGGTGCTTAGTTACTAAACGGAAACAAATGACTTTGAAAGTACGAGAATAATGATTTCGGTTCGTATATGAGGCGAGAGAGATAGTGCAGTGTTGTGGGTGAGTCGAGTAATATTGGATCTATGAGTGAAGATGGGTATGAGAGGTGTGATAAGGTGTTGTTCTGGAGATGTAAGATGTTTTCGAGTTTCTTTGTGTTTAGAGGCTTTGTCGAGAAAAAAGATTGGGCGAATCGAAGTGTAGGATTGTTCTCTGTCGGGTTGGAATGGACGAAGAGCTTGTGCGATGTGAAGGCGGTGTTTGACTTGATGGCAATGAGCTGGGCGGTGAGTTTGGGTTTCGAGAATATATAGTTTGTGATTGCATGGTGTTTATTTCTTTGGAAATATGTCACAATGGGGTTTGAAGCATCACATGATGTCGAGTTTTGTCTCTGTTCCCTAAAAAATGTGTGAATTGACACTTTTCCGATAGAGTCGAATTAAAGGTATATGTTTTCTAGACTTGTATAGATACCCAGAAAGATGTAAAAAGACATTCAGATATCACGTGTATGGTCTCTCCAAGTTCCAGTTTTGACGTCTATCCACTATTCAAGCATGCGCAAAGTCCGGAAGAAATCACGTGTAAAAACAGATTACTATGCTCAAGCCGAATTTCAATGAAGAAGCAATTCTTCTTTATGGCTGATGATATCATGATAGTGAAAGGGTAATGCTTAGATGAGAAGACTGAAAGGCAGGTTGTTGACCAACACGCCTTCGTGTAACCCACCACAAGTAGCTATCCCATGCCATCCCGTCCCGTCAGGTATTGACCTAAGGCGGCTGGTGACACGACATGATCGGCAGGCCTATCTCTCGGCTGCGAGTGAGCACTGGAGCACCGGTAGACCCAGAAAACAAGGCAAACGCTCTCGTCGGTCCGATAGAACCACTGAACAAAGATGCCGGGTTCTACGAGGCGTCTATCGGTTATTATTGACCATTCTCCAGCCGCGTGGTTGACACCCTTAAACGGAAGGATTGGGATAAGTACTCAATCAGGCCTCGCCAAGTGTCTTATCTGTGAACGAGCTCAAGCCACAAATTTACGTTGCTTTGAAGACGAATGGAATCCTTAGCCCGCGGAAATCCCTCAGCTCTCATCTTCGGGACACGAGAACTGCGCAGTGTCGTGAATTCAGAAAGTCGGAATGACAAGGCTGGTGTACAAAGGCTGGTTGCACATGCTGTGTAGCCGAAGAAGTGGAGTCCCGGCGGCCCGCATTCAACCCCACTTAGTAAACCGCGCCTAGCTCCCGTGGGACTGGCACCTTATCTGGCTGCTCCCTACGCAAAGTTGTGGATTCTTTGAGGCTAGGAAGAAAGGTCATTGATTAGATGGTTTCCTATACGACAACCAACGCCGACAGCGCGACTTCTCGAGCGTGACCGCGTTCGCGTGCAGTACACCTACGCACTTCTCGTTTGCGCCATGTGCACATCAGATGTTGTCCTGTGAAACCGCATTCGTCGGGCTCCGAAATGCCTTTTTGCCTTTTCGCGGTGTTTGATTGTTGCCGACAATTAAGGCACGGGATGTGGAAATGAGCCGGTCAATAAACTTGTTATGGTACGACGAGAAGGAAGGACGGCCCATTCAAATGAGACCGGACTTATCATTCCGCGCTGTAGTAACATCTACCTGGTGGTCCACCAACCATTTCGTTCAGATGGTGACATTTCTCCTGGCCGGTCCTCCCGGGATAACAAGCCCAGTTAGGAAACTGTGACATGTTTCAGTGCCCAGGAATACGTTGTGCTGCTTTAGAGAAAGTTGGTTGGTGCTTTTCCCCCCAGCCTCGTTCGTATCAAGCCTCAAGGGTAAGTGAGTGAGCGTAACGCGCGTCGTCTACCAGCTGTAGCCATTAAGAGGTGCACAATATCTGAACGTTGACGTGGGATACGCGCCATGCTAGCAGCATGTATAACGGTCATTCGCTTTTGTTCCTATCTTTGCCACACATGCATGGAGCTGACTGTGAACGTTGATAATTGCGGCCACCAATAGACAGACGTGAACATTACTGTGTACTGACCGCGACATGCGTACGGTCGATTCACGTCCGCGGAACAATGAGAACGACAGTATCAGGCGACTTCGCCATTGGCGCTGTGCAGCGAAGCGTCAACTGACACGCCTATCGTTTTCCCTGAGCAAATGACAGTTTTGCAGTGCCATTAGGTAGGCTTCTATTAGGCCTCCCGTGTGAGATGTGCCGGCCGTCGGGCCGCGTTTGAACGATTGACCGATACAATGGATATGCAACGCAGCTGCGGACTATGTTATTGCAGGGACCGGGTACGTATTTGATTGGTGAGATTGTATCCAGAGCCTGTTGGTGATATCATGTGGGACCGTCTTTGTTTCTCTGTGACCATTTGCATGTTTGAAGGTGGGCGCTTCTAGCAAGGTGGGGTAATTTGAAGGGTGGAAAGGCACCCTGGAGGATCTTGTCGTCTAAACCCACTTGATCGACCGCGGTTCCCAGCCACGTGGTTTCCAGACCCACTCACATATGGAGAGTAGATAGCAAAGCTCTTGCTAAGAAAGGCATGTGTAAGGAATCGATCGGCTATGGCTGGCGTCACGGCAAGCGGGTCAAAGGACAAGGGCGTTCGAGCAAGCTCACATGTTTCACGTGGCTTTGCGGTTGTCGTATACCCCCGTACTGCCTCCTCGCACTTATCAGGCAGATGGGACCGCTCTTGAAGTGCCCTGTAACTCAGTTATGGGGCAGAGCGATGCACCCGATGGCTCTCGGTATCATCCAGTCTGACAGGCATCAAATATCACGATATACAATGTGCATAAGGTATATACCCTGGCTAACAAGAATATCTGATACGTCATATTCATTAAATACAATTTGAGCGGCCGTTAAGTTGCGGAGAACATTAAGATATTGTGATCCAATCTGATATAGTGTGTGCAGATAATGAACGGATGGCAACATAGTGCAAGTTGCAAAGGTAACGTATTGTGGATAAGAAGGAAAGAAGGTCCTCAATTCCCGGGTATGACGCGACAGACGGGAGCATCGTGTCGCATGCGGACGTTAGTGGCAGTGGCGCGAGGGTGGTGCTACGTGTCTTAGTCGCCGGGCGAGTAGTTTTGTGTGTTCCAATAACCCAAGAGCCTGTGAATGTGGTCAGGGTGGACGTCGCCGATATCTTTGACCTTGACGTTGTGCTGAGTAGGGTGGTGAATTCCGAAGAAAATTCGTGATGCTTGAGATAGGGGAGGCACTCCTTGCGCCATCATGATACCTGGTCCAGTCGTCAGCGCTAGAATCTTTCCTCGAAAGGATCGGTGCTCGGGTGACTTGCAGATAGGGTCCTTGTCAAGCAAGCTTTCGCCTTCCAGCAGTGAAGGCGTATAGTCAAGAGAGTAGGCAATCGCATGCGCACTGGGCAATACACCGTGCTTTTTCGTACCCTGGCCACCGTACGTGAAGATGGGGCTAAACGTGTCAAAGAAATGCGCAAAACTAATGGGCCACGTCACTTACACGGCGAAGCAAAATCCATGCCTGGGCCCGACTACGATGAAACGTCGGATCTGGCTATGCACATACTCTCCATACTTCACAATAGAGATGGAGTTGTTGTATGCAGTTGCTGTCGAGCCAGCGGCTTCACTGAACAAGACCGAGAAGACCTAGCACGTCATGAGCAGGAAGTTCACTTCACGTATAAGTAGGCTACTTTACCTTGCCAACAGTAAAGAAACTGCTGGGCCTGACATAATAAGCTGCACACAATCAGCATTACTCAATTTGCAAGGGGGGTTGCACTATACAAGAGTCCAACGATTCCACATGGCTGTTCGGTGCGGGTTGGTTGTAGTTATAAGTGCCTCTGATCTCTGGCCCCTCTACAGCCGGGGTAGAAGCCGGCCCTGCTCGAACATCCTGCGGCGAATCGGCGCGAGTGAGTTGACCGTGAGGCGGAAGCCAGTCAAAGAATACCCAGCGCTCTCCTAGATGTAGTTATAGCGTTAGCCCCTAAAAAAGCAAATATATAAAAGCAAAGATGTAGAACGAATGAAGGTTCACAGACCTACAAAGTGATTTCTAAAGTAGCGCCCGTGCCGTTCGTCCCAGTGGGTCCGCAGATACCTCTGGTGTTCATGGTCCCAAACTGGTTCACTCATGTTTCAAAAAAAAAGTACGTAGTACCAATTGATATTCGTTGATTGCGTGACGATTTATATTCCATGTCGCGCAAGCCCCCCCTTTTAAGTCCAAAGAAACAGCCAAAGGAGCCATCAAATGCAGCAGAGCCTCATTGCACATGTGCGAATGAGTTACCGAGTTCATCGATCAATATAGGGACGTTACCGACGCAGTATGGTCCTTGGCGCTCCAGACTGGGAATGCGTGAGGAGCACTTGTCGAAGCCGAGGGGTGGCTGAAATCAGGCCGGGTGATGATCGGTAACACCTGCATCCGCAGCAGCTTGCATGCATGATAAGCGTGGTGGCGTGTTAAAGGCAGCGTGAAAACTACTATACCCTATCAGTCTTAGTGAAGGACATGGGTTGGGTGCTACCTTGCTATGGGGCTTAGGATATCATCCCTCGGAAGCGTTCAAGAAACCTTACTAACATCGACTTGTCGCTCTAGATGGCTTCGCGATCACGGAGCCGCCCAGGCAACGTGTCGTTTGCTTTTCGGCCAAAGCGCAAAAAGCTCGGTGTGCAAACAAAGAAATTACACGTGGAACAAGAGCACTAATAAGTATCTAGCGAAATGGCTTCGGTCCCTTTATCTTTCGATCGGTCCTCGTGGAAAAGCGACAGATTCCATGAATGACACTAGCAGTGAAGAGGAAGACGTTGCCTCGATCGAAATCCAAACTCCCACTGATAACCATCCACATATCAGTATGCGCACACATGAACGAGGAGACGACCCTCCTGTACTGCCTTCAGACATGGGTCGTTATGCCGACCTCCCACCACCTCCACCGCCCCCCCAATCTGCTATTTCACCCCAGATACTGGATACGATCCCAGTAAGGAAATCTGGCGTTTCAACTGAAGGAATCCCATCACGTGAATTCTCCGAAATCGAAAGACAACATGGAGAGCTGGTGATAGAAAGAGAGGATCTTATGGGTTCTCGATTTCAGATGCAGATGGATAGACAGAAGATCTCTGAGACACGTGAGAAAACAGGTACTCAAGAAGGATTGGTGATGGATCAGTTGCGTACCTTCCTACATAAGCAAGCAATCACCTTGCCCCAAGATATAGCGGAAACGTTTGAGCTGATTGATGCTTTTCGAGACCAGCTAGGTTCACTGGAGGCAGAATATGATGACACGGAACAAAAATACACACTGAAGGAATTAAAGTACTCGAGGAAAGAGTTGGAGTTCATCGGAAAGTTGAAAAGCGTTCACTCGAACAGCTCTCCTGTTTCTGGAACTGAGAGAATTCCGGCAGATCAGAGTGCCTTGCAAGCAACTCCCGCAACTGGGGATAGCTGGGAAATCGTCAATCCGAGCAACCAAATCACCAATTCGACTACACGGGAGAAGGCTCCACAACTAGCGTTACAACGTCAAGTGAACTCCAATATCCAAAAGGACGTCGGTTCGTACACGGCAGACTTTAGTCTACTTTCAAATAATGAACGCTTGAACACGTGGTTCGTTGATATTTTGTTTCAACCCAATCTACCGATGAACTATCCTGAAGAAGAGGAACCCATTAGCGGTCCGACACACGGATCTCCGCTGAAGGATGTTCCTGAAGGCTGGAGTTGTATTTTCGCCTTTGGAGCGCAATTCGAAAGCAACAATTCGAAGGGTACTCATGGCAAATCTCAAGAGCAAGACATTACTGGTTCTAGTCCTCTCTCTCTCTCTCATGATTTTATCGCAATAAGGCACAGGGAGATGCCTTCCAAAAGATTGCTGGTGGATTCGACAGAGTTTCAAGGGGAGCAAAATATTGCTCAGAAGGCGCCGCATCGGAAATGCCCGTACTGGAAAGATAGCGAAGCCTACGGTGGCACAGATCTCGAAATATATGGACCGTTCATTAGCGAGAAAAGTCGCCTACAAAGGAGCTTCAGTAGCTCCTCGGCACCGACTGGGTTGCAAATCTTACGAACACGCCAGTCGTGTCACAGTTTTCCTCACAAAATGGATTTCCAGAATCGTCGCGACTCCAAAGCTAGTTCGCAAGAAACACGCAAAAACGGGACTAGGCCATTGAGACCTTATCATACGATAGGCGCATCTTCAGAAAAGTCGCCTTGGGGGACCATCAAGACTCTGATCGAACCTCAAATTTCACAAAGTTTCAATCAAGGAGACGAATATCTCAGACGAGAGATGCATTTTTCTCATCGATTCCTCCAGCACAATGGCGGGTAGAATCACCAGGAGATACTCAAGTCGAGCCAAGGAAAATCACCTGTCTGCTATCGAAGGTTTTCTGATGCTATACACAGAGATATCCAGGTTTCGACTCGAACCACCCCCTATTTCGGATTTTCGTTGCACACGTAGCCTCACATAGGCTTGTACTTTCTTTATTTGCGTAGCGTTCTTATCGGTCGCTTTTCTTTTAATCGGACAGCGTTAGCCGGCTAACATGAGAACAGGGCATAAGTTTTCCATAAGAGATGTGTTTTCACAATATTTGTTTTCTATACTGTATAGTAGAATCAATTTTCCTTGCCCAGATCCCAACAACGCGGCTTGGCCATGCTACAGGTGCAGAGTTTTGGTTCGACCACGTTACTACCTGCTACTGCATGGGTCATCGTGGAACAAGCCTATCTTTCCCAACAAGTGCCATCACTGCACGGTGTCTAAAGGTATTTCTGTGATACTCGATCTTGACCATTTGGAATGAGGCGTTATCTTAGTTTCAGCCTGCACAGAAGTGAGGCATCTGTCGCCTTCTAGGGATGTCCCTTGAACCCCGTCTCTGATGTAACTCTGCGTATCACACTGTGCAGGGATAAGTTTCAGAACAAGGACACCGATTTCCTCCTATTCAACATGTTCACACTTGCACAACCTTTAACCAAGCCGATTATCTGGTTTCTGACACACGCACCTACAGCGCAGCTTCTTCGAACGAGTCAAGTATGGCCTATGAACAAAGTCATGACACTGTGGATGAGTGATTGATCGAAATGATTGGATAAATGGACAACGGGCTTGCAGAGGACTAGACGTGCTATATGTCAATCATGGATTATCATTCACCGTCTTGTTCAGCTTCTGCGCAAGAAAATGAAGAGGCTTGCCACTATTCAATCAGGCTAAGGGATCTAGCCAAGCCGGATGCAACTAGTCGACTAGTCTTATCCCAAGTCCACGTTTGTTTTTTATCAACTGCATGGCCACGTCCTGAAACTTCTATGGCCTCCGACTGATTGTCTTCTACTTCCTCCCTTTCACCTTGTAGCCCGATGATAAATCTCAAAGTATAAATGATGGAATGATGTCGACTTAAGGTTCTCTGACAGTGGCGAAAAAACGACAATTGGAGTCTAGTTTGCTGCAATGCTATCCATTTCCAGATCTTTTGGTGATGCCTGAGGCCACCGGTGAAGACACGCTAGGAGCGGAAGGAAAAAGCAGATGGTTAACCGGGTGTGGGTATGGGGAGCCCCTGTTCACCTGCAGCCGTGACTCGCAGGTTGTGATACGTGAATTACAGGTGTGTGTACGATCCAATCCTCCCATTGGCCTAGGAGACGATGAGAGTATCACGGAATCACCCCCTTAATCGTGACTTTATCGAGTTGGTCCCATGACAATTTCGTTCGTTTGAGTGCACATTTGCACATAACTAACTATCAGAGCAAGAGTCCCTCTTTCAACGCATTTGCAGGCTTATCTAGCGTTGCGTACACCCACATGGAGTGTCAGCTGCAGTGCCTCGCTCACTGGCCAATAAGAAGCCCGTACCATACCTACAGAAGGGCATATCGTGACGCAAAGCTGAAGGAAGAAGTAATGATTACAACAATTATTGGTGTATTAAAGCTTTGGACGAAGAGAGCCAGTAGAAGTGCCTTCTGTGTAAAAGCGGCGGCCGCAGACGAGCGCCTATGTCGCAAGTGCGAGTCTTCGCTTTTCAAGTTGCATGACGTAGCGCCACTGCGATCCTTTGATTGGTTTGAACAGCTCATCTTGCGTCTTGCCGACTCAGCCTTGCATCTCAGCTTGCTGCCCAAGAGCTCCGCACCACCCGGTCACAAGGTTGAGAGTGTATCGGAATGCCGTGCCGTTGGTATCGATTGACATGTATGATTGGGTTGGCTTTCCGAGTAATCAATTCATTGGCCACGAGTAACAGTCAGTGTATGCTAAACCCATATTCCATATGACTAGAAGTCTCAAATACCAATCGCAAATGCGCAATTCAAAAGCGACGTTGCTGCGCTTACATTGCGTTTTGCCACTGCTACCTGCATAACTTCATGTATGCACCGTTTTCAGTGCATACTCCGGGACTCGTCACGATACCATATTTCGCATTCGATCTTGGAGTAATCCCTGTCGTTACGGTGTCGCTGTGAAACGACAACGGCGTCTGCATGCGGGAGTGGTGTGCAGTCTCCACATTGATGTACCCCACGTGGTAAAACGCCAAATCGTTATTCTATCCGTAGAAGCCTCGAGTGATGCGTGGGACCATGAGACTGGTTCAGCTGTAAAGATGTGGATTAGTTGATCGGTAAAGTGTGTACCAACCACGGAAGGAGTGTCAGGTAGATTAGGCGACTTTAGGCAGTACTCTACGTAGTTGCCTTTCGACCGACCGGCTGAGTACAATGTAGCAAAAACATTGAAAGTAACTTTTGTGCTTTCTATCGTTCTTCTAAGATACAAGAGTGTGGAGATACTCCATATCTTAAACGGCTATCCTTTCTGTACCGGGGTGGGGATGTACGCCACAAGTCTCGGGAAGTTTGCTAAGCGTACTGCTTTTGACGGATCCGAGAAGGTTAGTCGAATGCAGTGTGAGTTTGGCAATAGCGAATGAAGGACTCATAATCTAGGACTATTGCGTAACTGTGTAAGTGTACTCTTACGCCAGGTTGTGTCACACGCCTCTCACCTTGTTATGCATACTGCATATGTATGCGCGCTTTATCCCTAATTTGGGAAATGAATCAGTCACTGGGAATCTAGACTTGCTAACGAACCTCATAAGTTAATATACTGAGCAGAGCCTCAATTGTTCGAGGTCCGGCCGCCAGTTATGACTCAATCTGATGAGTCATCTTGTATGGGACTTGAGTTACTGTTCACTCGGACACTAGTCCTCAGTCAATTGATTCATTTCCTCCCTTGAGTTGGTTGATCTGACTATCACTCTCCATGAGACCGCAGAATCATTCTCTAATTATATAGCAAACGTGAGGCAAAAGGGAACCAAATGAGAGCCAAAGAATGACATCTTCCAAGTTCAATACTATCTATGAACAATGATAGTCCCATAATATGCCTTTGTAGAGAACATCGTATGCCTGAATTCTTTCATGTTGATAACATTCCAAGCACCTATAAACTGTAGTTGTTATGATTCCGTAGAGGGTTATCACATTGATATGTCTTCCTGGTTGATGCACAGTATCTGGTCCGCGAACGAACCTTCACTATACACCACTATCAGCATTATTTGCCCAAACATACCAAGCTAGAATAGTTGTGACAACTCTCTTGCATATTGAGGGATATGCTTATTTGCGAATATGTCAGTGTCATTGCTCATAGTGACATTACAGTGCAACACAAAATGTGATAGTCAATACACTATATTGCAGTCAATCCGCAGTGCAACTTCTGTCAGTGACGTATCGTAAAGCAGTTGCATTATTAAAAAGGTCTTGTTCTAAAACCTTTTGATTCAGTTGTCTGTTCGCTTCCTATTCTTGAATAAGGCTCAAGGTTAAGTTCAGGCAAATAGCTTATAAAACACTCAAACTGTTTAATAGACTTTTGGTACAAGGATGTATTCAAAATGCTACAGAACTGCCTATTGATAGTCTATTGAGATTTGATAGCAGTTCTTTATGGGAGAGCCTTTAGGAGTACGAGCGGAGCCAGGTAAAGGTCGAAGTTTCACCGATAGTATTTCTCCATCCAGAGGATGAATTGCACACCGATCAGTAAGGATAGTAGAAACAAAAAGGTTGTCCAGTTTTCGTTTCTTGCTGCGTTTGCTTCGGTCAAATATCTCTTTGATGGACCAAATTCCATGCACTCGAACTAATCGGATAGTGAGCAGCAGTTTTGGATCCTGCAAACCAAAAATTTGACACGATACTTGAAGTGGGAATTTCGGGATATCATCAAGTTTCCCTGTTAGTATCTTGAAATCCTGATCTTTTCCAACTCGTGTTAGCGCGGACAGTTTGTTGCCACTTTTCGCATCCCATGCTTCTACACCGAACAAATCACTGTGAAAAGAAAAAGTGGTTTCGATGAGAACTTCATCTTCTATGTCACCCGGTCCTGGACAAATGAGTAGTTTTGTCTTTTGGAGTCGAGACACGAGGTCCCCAAGATAAGGCAAAACAGCCGGAAGGGCTTGTAAGCGGAGGCATGCATCCACACCAGACTGTCGTTGCAACAGGAGACAAAATGCACCCTGTGGATACTTTTTTAGAGTATGATTGAGTACCGCTACATGGGTTACACCGACTGGTGGTGTCGCTCCATCCAAAATTTCCAGCTTGCTGGAAACATCTTCATAGACCAACAGCGGAAGCACGGTGGATATTTCATTACGGAACGTGGTAACAGTTGTCATGATTTGTTCATGTGCTTGCGTGCTCCACCTCTCAGATGCAACAATATCGCAGTATCGAAAACTCGAGGGTGGATTCCGATTTTCTCGCGAGGAACAAAGAAAGCAATCCAGTTTGTTGCAGAAGCTTGTGGTGGAACTGGCCAATAGAGGTTGGTCATATCTATGTTGGCTATGGCGAAATAAGAACATCGAGTGGTCGGCTGTGGCATTGTAGATAGCTTCTTGGAGCCTGAAGAAGGCTTTCTCCCGCCCTTCTCCATATAGAAGTGGCATGTTGACGTCAAATAAACCCAGGAGCGAATATGCCTCATCCTCTTCTTTAGTGACATTCCGATGCGAGGCCCATGACAATCTCTCTGCCGCACTGAAAGAGTCAACAGTGTGAACACGAAGAAGAACGTCTGGGTCGATTGAGGTAATGTCTGCAATCTCTTTGTAACGTTCGAATTTCGTACCGATGGCGGCCCAATTCTCCGCAAAGAACTCGACACATATTGGGGCAATCAGCTCTTGCAACGTCCAACCACGTGTAAACCATTCGCTTATAGCAAATATCGAACTCCAGCCTAGTCTTGCATCGGGAACATCTGCTAGATAAACGTAGCAGATATTTGACTCTGCGTAGTATCTCCACATGGAATTGATCGCTTCTTGCAACTCAGCCGAACTAGATTTGTCGATGCAACAACTGTCAACCCAGATCCAAGCGTATCCATCCTTGAGGGCTAGTTTGCAAGCTCCTTGTATCTTCGCAAAGCCTTTTTTCGTCCGCGTCTGGCTTTGAGGGTGTAGAATGGGTGCGCTGCTTATATCTGCAAATGTGACCTCTTCAGTGCTCCACCGGTGAGAAAGGATTGCGTAGTCTGGAACCTCGCTCGGCACATAGGGACGGCTAAGTTCAAGAGTCTCTGTGTTCAAAAGCCTCATAGTGGGATTAAGTTGCTTGGCTTCTGGTTGGCCAGGGTTACGAAAACAGCCAGGACATGAAGAGTTGAAAAGACCGAGTAAGCTAGGAACACGGTAAAGATTTGGTTGATTGGTGAAGCATGCTGCTTTTCGGGCGACGGGGCAGTGCACGACACAGCTGCTGCCTAGTAGTACATGGTGCGACCGCCTGGTGTCCTGGTTCCAGCTAGTACAGCATATTACATCACGCTAAAGTGAATATGGCAGGATCCCGGGCCAGCATGATAGGGGACGCTGAAGCGTATATTATAGAAAACGAACTATTTGAGTATTCTCAAAGAACAAACAAGCAGTTTGTTTGATTGATAGCAAGCCTCGCTAGTGTTTCAGTGGGATACTTACATGTAACTAGGGATGACTAGTAGAAGGATCACTTACGTCGGGTCAAGACGGGATATTACAGTAACCAAGCTCATTGCTATATTGAAACCGAACAACAATCGTTTTCGGAATATGAAGATCCCTTATATCATAGTATTGGGTATGGCATTACACGGATCCATAATAGTTGACGTTCGGCCTGAAAAACTAAGATTTCGCAGTGACGATATGTATCATTTTGAGCATTACCCCATTGCTGTTTCAAGTGTCCTTGATTCCCGAGAAGCATTCAAAAGGCCGTCGTTACTCATTGACAATGGCAGTATTGAATACCAAGTGCCATGCTAGCCGGAATCCTTCCCGCCGTATGGAAAGAGGACGGCACCTTTGATTGCATATTCAATTCCGTTAACTTAGGCGCTCGACGAAACAGCAACTGGATTCACAGATTTTCATTCTCTGTTCTCCACTCTATGGGCCGCCGTATCTAGCCCGACATAGTGATTAAGCAAACTCGAAACCTAGATCTACCGAAGCAGCAACAAGCCAATTCGAAGTCAATGCTATCCCAAGGAAGCAAGACTATCCCCCTCCCATCTCCCTCAAGCTGTCAAGTCAACCCAAGCCTTAATAACCCTCTGCTTCGCCGCTTCAAACGGCTTCTCCCCATCAACCTCTAGCGTCTCACACTCAAATTCACTTACCACCGTCCCCTTAAACGGCTTCTGCACACCCTCCGTCCAAACATGAATCACCCGATCCGCCATCGCCTCAATCTGAATCCCTCGGAACCCCATCAGCGCCGCCTCACGCTGCAGCCACCGCGCCCCAGCCCCCATAATACCCCGCCCTTCATAGTCGCCCCGCGTGGACGTCGCATTGCGCATGAGCACCTGGCGCGGCGCAGTAGGCTTCCACGACGCCGGATCCCGCCGATCCCGCTGTTCGAGCGCGCCGTAGAGGATAGGAAACTCCGACCAATTGGCGAGTAAAGGTTTCATTTTCTCGGGGTCAAGCGGCTTGAAGCCGTCGTAGCTGAGCATTATGCTTACGAGTGGGAAGTCCATTTGCTCTAGTAACCGCTTCCCTTCTGCTGCGCGGCCTTGCGTTTTTTCTACACTCTGTGTAGCGAGTTCGTCCACGTCCCAGAGCAGGGCGCCGCCGATGGCGCGGGCGGAGTCGGTCTTAAAGACGTATTCTGTGTCGAAGACGCCGAAGGAGAGGCCGGAGTCGATTTGGTGGCGGACTAGGTATTCGAAATTGAGGGAGTTTTCGACGACCCAGCGACCGAGGTCGCGGTCAGGCCAGATTTTCTGCCAGACATTCGAGTAGAAGCCGTGGCTGTGGGTGAGGATGGCGGTGGCCCAGGGGAGGTGGACCGGCTTCAGTTTTCGGATTTCGTAGCGTGGGGCCAGATTTGAGGGGTTGGAGGGTGTGGGCACACGGGTGTTTGTTAGTTCTGACATTTCTAGCAGATTCGTATTTATATCTGTATTTCAACAACGGCGTTGGCGACGATGTTGATATACTGGCAGTAGGTAGAGCAATGTTGGTTGACGAACCTCTCTGGCGGTGTACCTGGAAAATTAAGAAAAAAAAGAATGTTAGATGGATATAGATAGCCGATGAATTTGGTCACAATATAAGCGACTCGGTAAGTCAATGTTGACTGGGCTTGCATAGATCCTGCATGCTAAGGAAAAAAAGATCGATGGGGTTTCTGCCGTTGATCTCCTCCATCGTGGACTAATACGATCAAAACATGGCACGAGAGAACGATTGAGGCAAGATGATCATGTGAGAATAAGACCTAATTACCGTTCGCTGAGCAGATCTTTTCGGCTCATAGCACTTAATTGATACTATGCTTTTACTGCTGATGTTTAGTTAGACCTACCTATGCATGTGATGTCATAAGCTGAAGTGTAATTGGTAAGCATCCCCTCGCCTACATGCACTATAAAGTACCACTGCACTAGTACCCCTGTCATTGCGCCAAAATGCGATCCATATTCCGGCGGGGCGCCTGATGAGACAAAGATATAGATTGTTGTTACAGTACTAAACATTTCGAATATGACTATCGCATTGTCTTGCATCGTGAGTTTTCCTCATTGAGTTCATAGCCCTACATAATTGGCTACTCTTCCCTGGTATGTGAAAGAGTCCGCCCCATAGAACTATGGCGATCTTTGATGGGAAACGGTAATTAAATGGCCTAGAACGATGCGGGACAGCCAGCGCGATATCAAATGCTCTTAATTCAACCCTTGGCCCTCTTGCAGCAGCGCAATGCCTTGTTCCTTAAGCTTGAATTTTTGGATCTTGCCGCTCGCCGTCTTGGGATAATTGTCTACCCAAAAGATATATTTCGGAACTTTTCTATGTCAGCTTGCTATGCCGTCTTCAGTATTGATGTCTACTTACCCAAATGATGGCTCAGCTTCTCTCTGACCCAAGTCCTCACCTCATCGGCTGTTACTTTGCCATCCTCTCCAGCATGTCTTACGACAAAAGCTGCAACAACTTCGCCGTATCTCTCATCCGGTAGCCCGATGACGCTGACTTCGCTGACGGCTGGATGAGCAAAAAGACAGTTCTCGACCTCAAGAGGATGAATATTCTCTCCACCCTTAATAATCAGATCCTTGATTCTTCCAGTAATTTTGATGTAACCTTCCTCGTCCATGGAGGCCTCATCGCCAGTGTGCATCCACATGACGCCGTCCTCGTCCGGTTGAAGTACTTCTTCTGTGCGCGCCGTGTCGCCCCAATAACCTTTCATAAGGAGATATCCTGAGACTGCTAGTTCACCACGCTGGCCTATGTCAAGCGTTTGCGACCAGTCTGAAGCGTTGACCACTTTCGCGCGAACATGTGGGAGAAGCCGGCCCACAGTGTTGATGCGCTTCTCAATAGGATCATCCGTGGTTGTCATGGCTGAGACTGGGCTTGTTTCCGTCATTCCATAGCAAATAGTAAGTTCCGTCAGGTTCAGTATTTTATGAAGCTTGCGCATCAGCTCGGCTGGAATGGAAGAGCCGGCTGCGATTCCAGTGCGTAAGTGTTGGAAGCCTTCGTATGGTACTGCACCATTCGCGAGGAGTTCGAGCTCCGCCACAAACATGGTGGGAACTCCATATAGGGCAGTACACTTGTGTTCTCGGACGGCCTCAAGGGTGGCAAGCGCGTTGAAAGCCTCAGTGGGGAAGACTATAGCGCTTCCATGAGTTGCTGTGGCCATGTATCCGAGGATGCATCCGAAGCAGCTGCATAGAGTTAGAAGTTGTACAATCCAACCTGTACAGGATGACTCACTGAAACAACGGAGGCGGGCAACATATAATGTCGTTCTCTGTCAGCAGCATCCTATCACCGATACTGTTGCCATTATTCAAAATACTCCTATGGGTCAAGCATGCAGCTTTTGGCATACTGGTTGTACCCGAAGTAAACTGGATGTTGACAATATCATGAGGGTCGAGTCCTTGATCCTGCAATGCTAAACCTTGGCCACCATCCTCAATCACATCCTCGTATCTTCCCAGGCACTTATACTCGTCCATATTTATCCTCCCTTGGGCATTGTCCACCACCACAACCTTCTTTAACGAAGGAACGAGCTCCGACTCGACTTTTGAACCGGCAAGATTAGGTATCAAGTGTGTAAGTAACGAGATGTTGGGGCGCGGGTCTTTTCGTGGAAGGTTTGTTTCAGCTCCAATTATAAGATGGGAAGCGTCTAAGTGATTGATGGCGTTTAGGACTTGCGGTGCGTTAAAAGAAGGATTGAGGGGTACCTATAAATCAATTGGTTTACGATCAATCTTTCATACTCCTAGCCGCATACATACCAGTATTGCTCCCAGTTTGAAAAGCGCATACGTAATCTTTGTAGTTGTCAGCCACCGTTTCTCATACAATCCCAAACAACATACAGTAGCAAATTCAATATTGTTTCCCAAGCTCACAGCAACCCTATCTCCCTTCTTCACTCCCAGATTCTGTAATCCTCTTGATAACCTGTTCGAGTCGCGATCCAGCCCATCGTACGTCAGCCGTATGCGCTGATGGTGTGAGATGACCCTATACGAAGCTTAGCCAGGACGATATCGATGTTATTCAAGGTACACGCACGCATCACGGTCACCATACTGCTTCACAATACCTGCAAAGTGCTGGGGAACAGTTTGTTCGAGCAGTGGAGGCTGTGTTATGCCATTAGCAAAGCCGAGAGCTGATATGTAGAGCTACAGGAAGAGGGTTCAATTGATATAGTACGTACCTCGGTAGGACCAATGCTATATGCTTGCGTGAGAAGCCCTCTTTGCGCAATTCGCACAGGCTTAGGGCATCTTGTAGCGCGACCGACGAGCTTCCGAAGCATCTTCAATTGAAGAGGGCATTAAAAAGCCAGACAAAAGAAGGACAGGCATGGCTGGCATCGGCCTTATGTGGAGACGAGATGGATGTGTCTAGTCAGTGCTGCTCTTCGGAATTGAGCCGCGGTCCACACTCCCGGGCGGACATGCGGGGTAGCTTCCGGGCTGTGGCTTCCCCCTCTTGTTGGACCAAAATCCCCGGAGAAGATCGCCTACACGCCCGCATTGTAGATTTACACACTTTCTCCTTTTAGTAAATTAGTCTTTATGGAGAATTCTAGCACTTCAGCATATAACATTCCTGTATACGAATGCGTGGTGGTGAAGGCGGCTAATTGCAAACAGGTCCACCAAGAGGCTTCACATATAAATAATTAACATCCCCAGCAACAACATAGCAGGATTTGAAAAGTTTCAAACATACACAAGGCCTTCTTTCTTACACTCCAGTTGAAACTACTATAGGTTGAAGACTTCGTGTTACACCGTTTCACGGAATAATGACAACACTCACACTCTGTTCTCCACCATGGTATGAACAAAATCAGACTTCATGCCCTCACAACACACCAAAACATCTACCCATCTCACCTATCAAAGAAACGAAACCCCCCAACATCCCAAAAATTCTAAACACAAAATCTTCTACACCCTAACCCCTCCAATCAAACTAACCGCCGTGCCTCCAACCTGCATCACACACATACATAGCCGCCCCCATCTCCCCCAATCACCACCACGCCAACACGCCATGCACAACCCACACCTCTCCTCCACCATCTTTATTTCTCTTATGCCTCCCCTCTTCCCCCCCTCCCCTCTCAACCCTCCTCCCAACCCTCTACCTCAAAAAAAAACAATGTTACCCGCCCCCCTCATCCTCGCCACAACCCTCCCCTCCTTCCTCCCCTCCCCCGCAGCCCCCTTAACAAACTTCTTCCACAAAATCGCCTTCGATCTCGACACCATCGGGCGCACGCGCCAAACAGCCTTGATCGAAGAAACCGCGCGCGTAGCCTACGCTGCAGCGGGGATACCCGTCAACATTGTAGTCTGGAATATGCATATACCCGAGACGCATCATTTTGAGCGCATACTGGAGAGTGGGTTGCAGCCTATGGGGTTGGGTGGCGGGTTTAGGGTGGTGGTCTTCCAGGGAAAGGGGTGGTTGAGGAATCAGGGGGTGCTGGGGGATGCGGAGTGGAGGTGGAGTGGGAAGGGGGTGGTTGTTAAGGGGGATTTGGTGGTGTTTAGGGATGTGGATGCGTGGGGGTGGGGGGTGATGGATGGGATGGGGGATTGGGTTCAGAGGATGCTGTGGTAGATGTGAGGATATCTCGAGTCTTTTTTTGGTAGTGGAAGGTCATTGATGAGAAGAGAGTAAGATCAAGAGATCAAAAGTTGAGCGCTAGATAGCAAAATGTGGTAGACTGTGCGATATAAAAAAAACTCCCAATGACACCTCCAAATGCTCAAACCGTCAACGAGAACTTCGTTTCGTGAAGTGTTTGTTATCGCTCAAACTCAAGTACCTTTTTGCTAGCATCGCTCCCTGTTCGATCTCTCGGCTTCATTTCCTCATCTCCTGTGCCAGTCGGTGATAGCAAGTCAGGTGGAACCTCGCCCTTTGATGCACCCACGCCAGCCGTCTCAGCACCTTCAAGCAGATCAAGATCCTTGGCATCTACGTCTTCCTCCTCCTCTTCGTCATCCTTGCCATGTCGTGCTTCCTTGTCCAGTTCCTTTTGAGCCTCGTCATACCGTCTTCTGACCTCTGTGGCAACTCGCATGCCATCATTGACAATATTGTCAAGCATGCCTCGAAGCCCCTTGCCAGGTGGTACAACACCGACCCCAGCTCCACCAACAACACCACCTAAGCCTGCGGCACCACCTTGCTTTCCGGCATTGGCAAAGGTTGTGAGATTGTGGAAGCTAGACGCCGAAGGAAGCGTCTCATCAGCGAGGCGGAACGATGAAGAGAAGCCAACCTCAAAGAAGTTTAGTAATGCTTCATCTGCGAGAATGACCATACGGAAGGTGGGCAGCGTGATATGGAGAGGCTTGTTAGGGTCCAGCGCCAG